TTACATTAGCCATCTTGTTGTTGACCAATTATCTTTATCTTAAAAATTCTAAATATTTTTTGAATCTAGATACTTTTAACATTTTTGAGATCTTTAAGTTATAAACCCTTTCAATTATCTTGAGTACAAGATAGACCATATAAATATTCGAAATATTATTATAAATTATATTAAAACAATATCAGATCAGATTTACTTAATATTTCAAATAATATATTTGGTCAATAACAACTGGTTATCTAACAATTTTTTCGAGTTCATGCTTGCTTTATCTGGTTTGACTGCAAGATTTATTTTTTATTTCTACAACATGCCGGAATTTTTATACTAAATAGTCACTCGTATAGGTACAAGAAACTGTTCAAAAAATTTATATTAATTAAATGTAATCAATTAATTATTACAAAATCTGTATACAGAATTATTTATCTATCAACATAAAATCAATAAACGCCATTATCACCCGTTTATTAACCATTATTTTCTTCAAGTTTCTTTAACTTTCTTTTGTCTTTTGCCTTTTCGTTTAGATTTCAACCCTTCGTCCTCTTCCTCAACTTTTCGTTTTAATTGTTGTTCGCGTAACTTGTTTTCTAGCTCATCATCTTCCAGGAGAAGCGATACAATCTCGCGCGGCTTAAAGTCCACTTGTTTGAATTCGCCGCCTGAGATGACAACTTTTTGAATCTGTTTTTGTATTTGATGAAATTATAGAATTGTTTTCGATTAGTCAATTTGTAAATAATTTACTTATAAAACGGCAAGATTAATTTATATCTAATAAAATCAACACGTACTTCATCTTTTTGTTTAGCACGCTGAAGAATCCTTTCCTCTATTGTGCCTTTTGTTATGAGTCTGTATACAGTTACTTGTTTTGTTTGACCAAGTCGATGTGCACGATCCATAGCCTTTGAAGTAAAAATTAATAAGTAACATTAAATTTCTCATCGAACCAAATTTTTATATCTTACCTGTTGGTCGACTGTAGGATTCCAATCACTGTCATAGAAAATAACAGTATCGGCGGCCGTCAAATTAATACCAAGACCACCCGCACGTGTACTCAATAAGAAAATAAAAATTTCGGGCCTAAATTACACTTGGTTTAGTCTAATAAAATTATATTAACTTGTTCATGATGATAAATAAAATGAAGGCTTGCCTTGTTTGCCAATCTGAAACCATATCACGACGATCAGCTATTTTCGACCCACCATCCAATCGCAGATATTTGTATTGACGATAGGCGAGATATTCTTCCATTAAGTCAATCATTTTGGTCATCTGGAAGTATATTAATACACGATGACCGCCAGCTTTTAGTTCTTCTAACAATTTATCAAGTTTCGCCAGCTTGCCGGAATCCATTATTAGTTTCTGCATAGCTATAAAATAAATCCCAAAGAAAAAATGCAATAACATTTAGTGGAAATATCCGGTTTGTGCCAATTGAAAAACATGGGCTTATAAGCACCTGGAACTCGCATAAGAACAGCAGTTTGTCCTAACAGGCCTTTTCCTTCTGACTCGACTAAGCAACGTCCAAAATCACTAATCGTGTCAACCTCAGATATTAAGGGGTTGATACCAAGCAAAATATTACGTAACGACTGGTCGAATAAAGTCCATTCTTGATCATTATAGAAACATTTGTCGAGACATACTGGTTCGATAGGTGGCGCGACAACCTAATATGATGATGATATTAATTAATATAACATCTATTAAAAAAGAATCAATACACGGAATTTACAATCGTTACTTACTTTTGGCATATAACACGGATCTAAAATTGATAGTTCGTAGCGAGTAGCGTGTTCATAGATATTTGTCAATTCTTTCAGCAAAGATGACATCTCGACATTCATGGGAGATGTAGTTTGCGCAGTTTGCATAATTAATAGAGACGCGTATGTATTCAATGGAGCTTCAGGATAACTATTATTATAATTAATATTAAAAATTAGTAGTTCATTAATAAAATATAAGTTAATAACCTATAAATCTTACCTTTCATCATCAGTTGTAATATAAAATCGCCGTCTTGCCCTATGGACACGCTTCAAGAGATGTAATACCCAACGAGCTATTATATGGCCAAAGAAAATCGAGGATGCCTCTGATGGGCTTGTGTCAATAAATCTCAAAAAGGAAAAAGTATCTAGATTCAAAAAATATTTAGAATTTTTAAGATAAAGATAATTGGTCAACAACAAGATGGCTAATGTAA